TACCAGTTCCTGAAGACACTGTACAAAATTGTTTATGCCAAGATGGCAACCCTATTAGATTTAGAAGGTACCATGACATTTTCAGGCACTTTTGACTGACAAATAATATTTTTCATCTTTAATTTGCAGTCTTCCTGAAAAAGGAATTTGAAAGAATGTCCTGTAATCATTTGTGTCTGACATTTGTGCTTCAAATCTGCTAATAATTTAAACCCCTGAAATTATTTACTTGAAGTGTTTCTGAATTACTAAACCTGTTGTTTTAAGTAACAGCATGAATGTAGGCAGCAGCCTTGGATTGGGAAGAAATCTCTTTTATTACTGAGGGTTACTGAATCCCATCTTTTTCTCTGTTTCATGTTACTCATTTTACATTCTCTTCCTCATGAAGCAGAGACACTTACGTGATGAAATACACTGACCTTGAGTAAAATTCTTCTGGGCCCTTGGACTTTATTGCAGTTGAAGAAAGGTGATTTGGGAGGAAAAGCACCTACCCCACAGAATTTTCCTGTACTTCATGTGCCTTTGAAATATAGAGGATGTATGGGCATCCATGACCCTGCCCTTCTTGCTCCATTTGTATTTCAGCACATTTAAGCTTTTAAACCACTTGGTCATGCATCAATACCTGTTTTATGTATTGAGTATAATGGACACTTCCGAGATTTCTAGCTAATTCCCAGATGGCAATTCTGCAGAGGTAGTGTTTAGGAAATGTTAAGGATCCACTTTTTTCCTGGTAAATAGGTACAGTAACTTGGCTTAAGCTCCAATAACAAAGAAAGCCTGGAATATCTACATGACCCTGAGGTTTAACGTGGCAATTATTCATTCTTGGTAAAAAAATATTTTGTTTTATTTTCACCTGTAATAAAGTGTTGGGTCATTCCACAGCCTGCTTATTAAATGAAATGGCTCTTCTCTGTCTTAAATGTTAGGTTGAGCCATAGTGGTAAAACAATAGCATCTTTTGATTGTGTGATTACGTCTCTTAGTTCGCTGCTTTCCCATAAAACAGAGAATGTGATTAAAAACCATGGGACATCAGGAATAAACATTCTGGTATTCAGATATTAATTCATCTGAAAAATAATACAGCATTCTTCCTTTCTAATTTTTACTATTTACTCTTGGACTGCCAAGGCATTTTATGACACAAGCATGACACACACAAGTAGATCATACGGCTCATAAACTGATGGAGGTCTATCATGCTTGATACGTAGTCCTTCTTTTACCAGAACCACAGTGCAGGCTGTTAGAGAACACTAAGGAAGAGATTTTTAAATTTCTCTTATTTAGTCTGCTTTTGTCTTTTGCAGCTGACACCAGTCTTGGAACAGATGATGTTTATGATGACAAAGGGTGTCAGTGTGATGTGTCTGTAGAAGACCTCACCCCTGCTCTTAAAACTGTCATTAGAGCTATCAGGTGAGTAGAAAATACTGAATGAATAAACACTTGAATTTCCTTTAGTTAGGATACTAATAAACTGCATGTCAATTCATAAAACGATAGTTAGTTGAACTTATTACATGGCTATATTTGTTACATAACTAATGTTAATATATTATGCTTCCTTTCTATTTTATCTAAATCAAAACATTTTATCAGTTCTGTTATCAGCTTTTCAATATCCAAAAATGTTACATGATTTGACACAGACAAGAGAGTAATAAATGCTGTTTTCCATTATCTCTTATGTTATCAAAATTATAATTTGATGTACTTTTACTAAGCATGTATCACCTTGCCTGGACAAATTATTTTCTTTAAAAATATGGTGGTTTATTGCATTTCCATATTCCCGAGACTGTCATATAGCTTTTATTGCAAATTTCTTCTGGTAAGAACTGAATAATTACATTCATTCAATTGTGCAAAGCCTTGCCTACTACTATCCGCTAAAGTAAATACAATCCAAATAATTTAAAACAAACAGTCTCCTTTTCCAAGAAAGTAGCAAACTGCATTGAAACTTATAAAGTTACCTGCATTGAAAGTTTAAACATGTCATTCACCCTCTTGAGTCTGCCAAGGCTATTTATCTTCCAGTGTATTTTGAAGTATAAATGCTGACAGTCAAGAACACCCCCATGAAATGTACAGCAACAAGCAAGGAGAGCTCAAGGATTCCCTGTCTGCAGGCAGCAAAACTCAGTATATCACTGGGGGCCACCCCACTGGCTCTGCATCACAGACACATCAGTGTCCAGCACCTTCTCGGGTGCAGGAAGGAAGGCAGGCAGACAAACAGGCAGCAGCCAAAAGGAATTTCTGCAAAATCTATGGAAAGACTATGTTTTCCTGTACAGAAACCCCTGCCTGAGTTTTCTCAGCACTATAGGAAGAAAAGACTCGAGCTTTTTATCACATAATTTCATACAGTGATAACCTATGGGCTACTTGTATTTCCTTCCCCTTTTCCATTGAGTAAAATGAAGACAGATAGCAAGACAGCCTGTTTCTGAAACTTTTCTACTAGCACAGACAGCTTGATAGATCATTTGCAGACATCTTCTCCTACCATTTTTTCAATCTGCCTGGAAATTACCTCATAGAACAATTCAGATATCAGGCCTGTGTCCACAGCCACTGCAACTGGCAAGCCAAATGTCACTGCTGAAAACCATCTCTTGCTAGCAATGTTTCAGCAGGCGACAGAAATCCTTTTTTCACAGTGGACACCCACCCACAAGAAAAGCCTATTCCCTCAAATGGAAACTGCTCACATTAGGAACAGTCAGCATAATCCATTGACTTTGGTGTCAAAGATACTTCTCTATGATACTGCATTTTAAACACACTGGATAACTCTTGGCTCCAGGTGCACCTTGCCACTTGTCCTGACAAGGGATAATCATTATTCATGCTGTCCAAATTCCTTGACTTCACATTTTAATATTTACCTCATGGAGCTCATTTTCTAGGGGACCACTGGATTGTTCAGTGCATCATCTGCATTTTTGCTTGGTGTTCCTGGTCATTATCAGCTCGAACGGAAAGCAACCAAATGTGAATGATGTAGTTGGAAAACTCTCCACAGTACTATCCACAGAAATGTTCTAATAAGAGGAGCAAAGGTGCGAGATTGTTTCAGACATGTACTATTTAACTGATGAGAATCAAATTTTTATATTATCTCCAACTTTTACTCTGCCTGCCTGGCCTACTAGAAAAACAACTCATGTCACCACTGAAGCTGAGAATAAGAATCTCTACTTGCCATCAATTAGCCATGAATCTCTCCCTGCAAATTTTAGTGTTTAGCAAGATCACAAGCGACACATGCATCTTGCTTCAGAAACTTACCTTTCCTTGACACCTGTAAAGCAGTAATATACCATGATCTTGAGACTTCTGTATATGCTATACTTTAATCTCCCAAAATCAAGAGACTGATAATTCAGTTCATCAGGTAGCTGATACACCTCTTTCTGATTATTCAGAGTATCTGTTACCAGACTGCGCTGGGATCTATGCAAACATCTGAAGAAGGATCTGAGACTCTATATAGTAACTGTAGAATTTCAAGATGATAACATCTGCCTATATGGAAACTTTGTGCCTCATTTTGAAGTTCGTTTTTAGAAACAGCTTTGAATTGCAAAGGCTGTGGGGGAGGGTAAAGGCTGGTTTTCCTTTCATGCTGATATACAGAGGCAGGCAAAGACAGAAGGCACTTACATAGTTTTATAACGCACTAGGAAAAGATCCCAAATATAAACACAGAACAGTTGAATCCATTCTTGATGCATCAACTTGAAAAATTGCTATAAGGGAGTCTAATTATTTTTTCCTGTTTAGACCTGGGTACAAATTGTTTTACAAAGACATAAACGGCCCTTTTGTTTTAAGGGGAAATTAAATTAACAAAATTAATTTATGCCTGTGGATTTATAGAGGTAGGTCCTCTCTCAGTTTTGGAATCAAAACATTGTGGGTGAGGTTTTTTTTTTCTGTGCATGGAGCCTAAAATATGCTGCTTACTCTCAGGTTGCACAGCCTTGAAATAGCAAAAGACAAAAACTGGTTTATTTATAATTTTTCATTTTGGTAATTTCAAAGTCTACTGTGTCATTTTTGACTGTTTACTTATATTTTTTCCAGGGCTACTTTTTTTCAAAGCAGTTTTTTAAGTAAATAAACCCTCCATTTTCCATTTTGTTATAGTCAAAACAGAGGATGGAGAAAACAGTCCTTTCCTGAAAAAGTTCTCAACATTTTGGTCCTTTCCAAAAAAGACAGGACTCTCAACTAGTCCTACTGAAGACCCACCAGGCAAACCTGTCTGGTAACATGTCAAGCTCTCAATCTGCTCTCAAAGCCTCCTAAACTGAGTCTTTTATCTCTCGTGCTGCCCGCTCCATCCCGTCTTACTCCACAAGCTCTCTGTCAGGAAAGATCAACTGAGGGAGTAGGGAAAGTACAGAAAAGCTGCTCAATGCATTTGCACAAAGTTGGGTGAGCAGAGAACAGATGGGCAGTGTGGTGGAACATGGTGTGCACCACAGCATGCCTTGGGCCCAGTCAGGATCAGTCCTGCTCGTCCACAGCCTCTGGCTGGGATCAGAGCAGTGCACAAAGCAGTCCTTGCTAGCAGGCCACTGAGTCTGTGTGCCAGCAGGGTCTTCAGCACTACTCAACTGTCCCGTCTTGTTGTGAACAAAAAGCCAATAATATCCTGCAGAGTTCCTGCAGACTAACAAAAAGCATTGCCTTTTCCAGCTCTGTTAGTTTACAATGATGAATATGTATAAAAGAGACTAAAAGGAAGATTAGGATAGCTTGTTTCCCTATATTGTGATATCTCTGATCATTTTCCATAGCAAGAAGCACTCATTTCAATAATACTTTCCACATGGAAATGATGGAACTACTGTACTATTTATGTAATATAAAATGAGATTTTAGTAGCATAAATAAATATGCAATAGAAAATAACTGCAATGGCAGGAAGATGAAAGTACTGACCTAATAGGTCTTTTCTGTCTTTAACTCTAGTGATTGCAAAGATATGTTTTCATTTGTTGCTAAGAAAAAAAAAAAAATAACTGTGGCTAAATGTAATGAAACTTGAGAATTCTAGAGCTGATAAACTGTATAGTTGAACAGTCATACATATTTAACAGACAAAGATGGAAAATATAATTTACCGTGTATGTTCAGTCTTTGCAATGTTCCTGCAACACCTATAAAATGTATTTTTAGTAGCCATTTTGAATTTGTTTAATGTAGTGTTTCAGAATCCCCTCTTTCTCTTTAATCCAAACACATTGTTTATTTTCTGCCAGATGGTATTCAGAGCCTAGGCAAGGTTCTTATACATGTGGTTGGCTAAGACAGTGCTGTACTTGGGGACAAATCATGTTTCTGGCTGTTAGGGGATGAGTCGGGTTAAGACATGAGAGAGAAGACAATTTTGACTCACTTGCCTCACATGTAGCGTCTCAAATATCTTTGTCTGCTGGCCTCTCTGTTTTGGATCCTGATCTCTTCTTCACATTCATTTTTACCAGGAAGAAGGAATATTTGGCAAGGTAAGGGTAGTGAGACAGAGGCACCAGCACAGGTAGATCTCTATACACCTGCTTTCCTCATGTTGTAGGTGAGCAAACAACTTGGGGTCACCTCATCTGGCTATGGATAAAACAATCTACCTGACTTTTAATATTCAAGGCAGTAACCATGTATGATTCCACCTGAACCCCAGAAGAATGAAGCTCTGTTTCTTCCTGAGATAATGACAAGACTGACAAGACACAGCTTATGTGAATGGCATGAGTATGACAGGGCTGCACGGAGGATTAGAGATCATCTAACCTGGTGCCACCCTCAGAAAAGTGCACTAAATGACAAGCAAAACAACTTTTACTACTGGAAGGGGCAACATGAATGCAAATTACAATGCAGTGAATGCCAGGGAAGATATGCAACATGCATGGACAGAAAGCACTTAATTTAAGAGCAATGCTAGACCTGCATCTGAGAACAGATAAATGAAATGGGTGCTGCTCTTGGCTGCTATGGGTCAATAAGACAAAAGTTGGTATTGGACCCGTAACTTTCCACAAATGATCGGGGTACATAAAGGTTAATAGGACCTGTGGTTTAGCTATTAATTCGAGACAAAGCACTTTAATATATTGGTCTGCTTCAACAGATGATTTTTTTTTTCTGCTCTTCTATGTATCACTAAAATAAGCTACTTTTTATAACTGCTACCAGAACGCTGTCACGCTTGTGGTTTGGGTGGGTTAACAACAGCGCATCGTCTGCCGCATGAGCTCCGAGCTCCCAAGCGCCGCCTCGCCTGACGGCACAGCGCGGAGCGGACGCGGCGCGGCCCCGCCTGTGACGGGCCTTGCTCGCCCCCTGCTGGTGCCGCCGGGAAGGGCAGCCCGGCCCGCCCGGCCCTCCCTCCCGTCCGAGCTCGGGGCTGCTGCTCCGAAAAACCGCGGGGTGCGTGACTCGGTGCTCGTTTTCCCCTTTTTGTACGGATGGGTTACCTGCAAATACCTTTGCTTTTATCCCACAGGAACGCACAGTCTACGTACTGGTGCATGATCTATCAGGATGGGTGTCCAAACATAAGGAATCCTGCAATGGTTTGGGTACAGCCATTTAGTTCCGACCACCTGCTATGGGCAGGGACACCTCCCATCCGGTCGCTCCAAGGTTGTTCGGGTCTTGAGACCAGCTTCTTTCAAGCCCCATCTAACGTGGCCTTGAACGCTGTCAGGGATGGGGCATCCACAACTTTCCTGCGTGATCTGCTCCAGAATTTACCAACCTCACAGTACATTAATTACATAGGGATTTGAAGATACAGGATGCCAACTGATTTTAAAAAATTGACACTAAGTAACTATGAAAGTTCAACCAAATTTCATAACTGCAAAGCAGTTTAAGGCTCCATCACTGAAATAATTCAATTTTTCTTTTTCTTAATTAACTTTCAGGCTTTTAAAATTAGTTTTTTAATAGTGTGATATTTTTTGTACAGTTTATGTAAAATTTTCTGTACTTGAAGAAAAAGAAGTAAGCAATATGGGTCTGTTATAAACCCTGCTGAAGTTAATTAAAATGGAATCACATGAGCTAATACCTAAACCAGAAATAATAAAGTTACAGCTCACTGATACAGCTGTGATGCTTTCAATTCTGTTTGACTTCTGAACATTATGAACAAACTGCCTTGATAAGCAAAAAACTGTTATAAAGCTGCAAAGTAGTAATGAAGACTTTTGTGCCAACTGATTAAAGAGCTTCCATGGTTGTTAATAATAATTAGTCTTCTGCCTCTTCCCTTGTAAAATCACCCAGTTGTGGTAAATTCAGTTGTCTTCAATTATGCCAATAGTCGTCTGGCTCTTCTTTTATAATAGAGTTTCATATTTTTACTTTATTAAATGAAATGCATGAAGTAAACATTGTGACCACTGAAACATAATAATAGTAACAACAAAACTATTATACTGTCTTATATGTCAGCTGCATTATTCATTTTTCGTAACCTCAAAAAACAACTAGATTCAGAATATTAGGTTGTCAGGGTCTTATAAACCAATATCTTGGCATAATTTGACTGCTAAACAAAAAAATTCTGCATCCCTGATTCATCACAACTTCACAGGCTTCCAGATTACAAAAGATACCAAAAGCCATTGGTCTGTAGAATTAGCTAGTAATCCAAAAGAGAAAAGCCCGATATATTTGAAAGTGCGTGGAGATCAGTCCTGAAGTGTCAAGTTTATGGACTGCTCCTAACAGGTCTTGTCCATTTTTAATTTCTACAATCAGAATCAGAATCATAGTTCAAGTTCTAAACCAGCGACAAACAATCTCATTTTTAACTGAAAGTCACCAGAATTGGAAATACAAATAAGCTAAGTACCATGAGAAAAGGCTGACATTATCTGTAAGAATATTTATGTATGATACAAAAATCAGTAGAGGATCACTATATATTATCAAGGCAACTCTACATACCGATTATCATAATATCTATCCTAACTATGTGAAGAATGACTTAACAATCATTAACAATCTATTTTTATCAGAGGGTGAGAACCATGTTTTGAGTTTCATTATCATTTGTTGTCTTACAGCTGCTGAATACATATCATAATAAACACGGAGGGAATATATTCTCATGAATGTTGGCATTTGGGATAGGATAACAACTTACAGTCTCTGCTTTTTCAATTGCAATAGATAGCAAATATCAGCAGTCTGGCCCTAATGGGAATTCATAAACTCTGCAGCACAGGCCAGCATGGCTAATGCACCTGATCCCTTCTCTTCTGTCCTAATTCTTATGTAAACCAAGGAAAACTTCAGGTTCTACCAGTCTACCAGGAAAATCATCTCACTGTAATTTACTTTCCAAATTTGTCAAGGAAAATTTTCAAGGAAAAATTAGTGAATGCTAATTAAGCAATAATTCCTATATATTTGAGTAGGGAACAAACATAAAAACTTCTCTTCAGCCTGCAAAATTTGATCTTAAGTCAGCAAATAAGTTGAAAACGAATATTTAGGCCAGAATGTTAACTAAAAAATAAAAACTGATGAAAACTTAATGGGGTGCTTTTTTTTTCTTCCCACAGAGGAGAGCAAGGAACTTAAAATGAACACCAGAACAAGAACACTGTTATTATAAGTTTGTGTAATCGACTCACTAAAGAAATCTTTCCTGTAACAAGAACAGAAGTATCTTATGCACAAATGTAGCTGACATTATATCTCACTCAAGTCAGTGAAACTAATCCCAGGTTTGAGTCAGGCATACCTTTCATCTCAAGCATCTAGCATAAAAAAGTCCAACAGGTATATATTGATAAACTAAACCTGCTCTGCAGTCTTCAAAACAGTGTTACCCGATCTCTCAAACAATTCAAAGACATAGCTACAGTGCATTTGTACTTAGAAAAAACCATGTGAAAGTTTACCTGCACAAACTGTATTGAAAATACCTTCCATTTAAAAATTGCCTATCGAATTTTTTCAATGAAATATATCTATGGTTCTTCAACTGTTGAAAATTAACCTATAAAATCCCTTTCCCCCACAGAATTATGAAGTTTCATGTTGCAAAGAGAAAGTTTAAGGAAACGCTTCGTCCATATGATGTCAAAGATGTCATTGAACAGTATTCAGCAGGTCATCTAGACATGTTATGCAGGATTAAAAGTCTTCAGTCACGGTAAGGAAAGAATTAGTAACACTCCGCATAAGCATCTAATGTCATTCACTGCATAAATTATATTGGCAACGTTTAACATTTCTGTGTTATGTAGCTTCTCTTTCTGTGAACCCAGCTGAGCCAGAAATTGAATTGTGGGCAAAACCAAACAAAAAAAACATATATCCAAATTTTTCTCAGAAAATAGAAGTCTGAAGAATAGAAAAGGCAATCCTTTATCTGTAAAGTCCATTTGCAAACAAGGACTTTAGTCAAAAGGGTGAGGAAGACATTGAGAACTGCCTCTTTCCCATCCCATATTTCCTCTTTTCACATAAAAGAAATTGAGAACTACTGGTAATGTAGTATTTATGCAGGTTTTATGTTAGAGATTCCCAGCAATAGTAATTTAAAAAACCAAGCCAAACAACATTATATCATATTTATCATTATCAGAGAAGGTTAGAGATTCCTGGTTCAAACTGACAACTGTCCCAGGAGTGGATGTTGTTGGGGGAGCTGGGGAGTGGCACTGGTATGTTTGTTTGTCCATAAGATCAAGTTGTTGGAGATGCCACCTCTTTTTTCCCCCTTTCAGCAAGACTTGCCTTGGCTTTCCCAGATGATGGCTAAGTTCTGGTTCCTGGTTAGCTCCATCAAAAAAAGAAAAGCAGTCTAATATGCTCAAAAATCACTTTTTTTTTTCTTCATTTCCCTTAATTAATAAAATTGTTTGTCTTCTTCTTTGAGTGCTTTCCTGAAGTACTGTGATCTTTTTCATTTTTAACATATAAATATAGCAAACACTTCCACATCTATGCCAGTTCCAGGAATGGCAACAGCTTTTGGTTTCTCTTACAGCGTTGACCAAATTCTTGGGAAAGGACAAATCACAGCAGATAAAAGAAGCAGAGAGAAGAATCCTGCAGAGCATGAGACAGCTGATGATGTCAGTATGTTAGGGCGGGTAGTCAAAGTGGAGAAACAGGTAGAGTGATTATCTGTGTTACTTTGTCTTGCTTTATTGCTCAAACCTTTTCTGCGTTTTATTGCCAGTTCCAAAAGCTGAACAAGAAATTTTTTTTCCTAGTATCTGCTTTGTTTATATGTTGAAATAAAAATTATGTGCATCTTATTACCTTAACCTCTTCTCCCCTTTTCTCAGCTTGCTTATGAAAAATGTACATGGCTTCTGACATTCTTTTTCAAGGGTCAATAGCACACATCAAGCTACTTCCATTTTTCTCTTCAGCAGTTACATTTTCCCTTTGCTTGGGTTACAGGTATTTTAAATTAGTATTTGGCACTAATGTTGACCTTTTCCTCTCATATAGGTACAATCCATTGAATCAAAACTGGACTGTCTATTAGATATTTATCAACAAGTTTTGCGAAAAGGATCTGCATCCGCGCTCACTTTGGCTTCATTGCAAATGCCACCTTTCGAGTGTGAGCAGACTTCTGATTACCAGAGTCCATCAGACAGCAAAGATTTGTCTAATTCTGCACAACTTAGTGGATGTGTATCCAGATCAGCTAGTGCCAATCTGCCTCGTGGCCTACAGCTTATACTGACACCAAATGAATTTAGCACTCAGGCTTACTGTGCTTTTAGTCCAGCTATGCATAGTCAAGCAACACAAGTGCCAAATGACGGACCTGCAACAGTAAATAATACATCAAACCAAATAAACCAGACAACTAAGCCAGCAACTCCGACAACATTACAAATACCACCCTTCTCATCGATGAAGCATATCAATAGGCCTGAGCCCATTCATATTATTCCTGTAACGACACAGGAAAATATTTCTAATGTCACCGCTTGCCTTGTTGCATCAAAGGATAATGGACAAGTTGCACAGCCCAGTGTGACAAAGGATCTCACATGGAGAAAAAGTCTGGATACAGAAGGGGAACCTTTGCTCTCAGTTAAACCTGTAGTGCAAATGGATTTAGGAAAATCTTTATCTGTACAAAACCTTATACAGTCAACAGAAGAACTGAATATACAGATTGCTGGCAGTGACTCCAGTAGTTCCAGAGGTAGCCAAGATGTATACTCCAAATGGAGGGAGTCAAAATTATTTATAACGGATGAAGAGTTGGAGACAGAGGCAGGGACAGAGACTACTGAAGCCATCTCGCGCCCGTTAGTGGAAGCAACTCTCTCTGCTGACTCTCTAAGGACTGGAATATCAAGATCATCTCAAAACATCTGCAAGCCAGGGGATGGTACAGAAGCACTCAGTCTGCTCCATGTCAAACTTAAATAACTTCTGACTTTCTTCATTGGCTGGGTTATTCCTCTAGTCATACATATCATAGCATGAACTGTTTTGAAAGCCTTTTTAATAAGATAAAATCACAAAAATCAGGATGAATCTGCAAAGCAGTTGAATGAGCCCATATTTCCTAGTTGCATGAAAAAAGCATGTCTAAGCAATGGCTAACATCCAAATTTACACCTACAGTACAGCAGCCTTTCATGTAGTACAGTAGGTTTAAATGAGTTGCCTACAAAGCTAATGCTGCAGGATGTATCAAAAAACAAAAATTTGAGCATTTAGACCTTGTGCTGTTTCCATGGGGCAGAAGTAAAAACCTTAAGGTTTAAAGCACTTTGCTTCTGAACTGATTAAATATATATATATAATGTCCTGATTTAGATGATAGTTTATGTTTACAACAAAAAGATTATCTACAGCTGCTAGCAAGGTACCAAGGAAATGAGAAACATGGGGTTAGAAATGGCTGCCTGTCGCAAGATACAAACATTAACTCATCAGTAATCAGTTATTTTTATCTCTGAAGAACAGTATGTTAATACCTGATTTTTGGTGATCTAGTGCTGTGGCAGAAGTACCTGACACACCACTGTCACATTGTTCTGTATAACAAGAACTATTTTGTTACAAAAGATTTGTATTTTAAGGATTGGGTCTGGCCTCAGAAATGGATAATGTAGGTGACTGCACTGAAAATTCAAAGGAATCTCTCCTTCTTCCAGTCTCATTGAGAAGCTGACTTGTGAATCTGAACCATTTTGGCAGCAGTAGGTGAGGGAAGGAAACAGGTGCTGCCTTTATTGTAGAAGCAATATTTCCTTCTTGTGAAAATTTTGGCAATTTTCCTTGCTGTCCCAACCTGATACTACAAAAGCACTTTCATAAGGCTGGGCAAGAAGGGAAAATGAGGAACTCAAATACAGAGTAAAAGTAAAGTGGGCAGAACAGAAGAGAAAGACAACATAATCAATGGGAAAATAAATAATAATATGGATTTAGATGGGCAGGGAGGGAAATCATCCCAGAAAATAAAACAAGAAAGGTAAAGATGGAAAAAGTTTCATGCTTTTTTCCTCACAGATACTGAGTGTTTAAAAAAAAAAAAAAAAAGGCAAGGGAAGAGGAGAGAGGGAAAATTGTCCCACTCTTAGCTCAACACTATGTACAGTAAATTCTTATGAACTTTCCAACATAGGGATCTCAGCAGACTCCTTCCTGCTAAAACCCAAGTTTTCAAATTCAAAGCCTACATCAGACTGAGCATTCCTGCCTGATGCATCTTCTTTTTTTCTCTTACTCTAGCCTACACTTCACTTCTGCTGAGGTGCACGAGCAGTGTTAGTGCCTGCCTGCACATCCCCAGCAAGGCTTTGCCACTGGGAGAGCCCTTGCAGAGCCTAAACAGGCTTTCACTCTTCCCAGATGAATGAGGTTTCTGTGTGTTCCCTCCTGCCAGATTGTCACCCCACCTGGACCACAGGCTTGTAGACAACCCAGCTTGGGCTCAGCTTCCCTCTTAGCAGCAGGAATACAGAATGTATGGTTGTGCCAGTGCCAGCTCACTCAGGGCAGTGTTTTCTCAAGGCCCAGACCCACTGGGAACTCGCTATGTACATCAAAAACATCACTCCAGTCTTAACTGTGGCTAAATGCTGTAGATTGTATTGTGAAGGAGCTGATCTGTTTACTATGAAACCATTGTAACTTATGCTTCCATTTGCTTTACAGAAGTATTCCTGGATGTTACATGAAAACTTTATTATGTGAAAGTACGTGCAAACTGTAGAGTGTATATATTGTGTCATTATATGGGGTCCATGGATGGTACACTGTGTTCCATGGCTTATGCTGGAGCAAACTTCAGTTGTTAAATCCTGAAAGACACCTTGAAGCACAATTTCCTCACCGCTGATTTGCCATATAGTTCACCACATTCAGCCTTTCCTGTTTCCTTTTATGTGCAATCTGACCATACCGAAGCCTGATTACAACAGCAATTTTGTGAGGATAAATACATTTTTTTCCACATCTCAGTTCACTTAACTGTTAACTTATTTGAATGTCTGCAGTTTATCCAGACAGATATGTAAGTTTAAAGTATTGAAAATTTTAAAATTATAATAGTTTTTTAGGCTATTTTTTCCTTTTTCTTGTTTATGGTGCCTTTCTTGCCTTTCATGTGAAGCCTCCTGCTGACCTAAGCATCAATGTGTCATTAGGTTCAGTTAAGGAGCAAGTGATTGGGCACATGGCAACTGTGTGCCCATAGTGAAACTCCCTTCCCCTCCCTGACAAGACCGAAAATCCAAGGCATCATGAATTGGACACCACTTTTCCACCTTCATCTGCAGGAGCAGATGGTTGCATCCCCATTGCACCTGGAAAGCGTCGATGGGAGAACTGAGCAATGGCCCTGCCTGTCCCAGTTCTGCACAGAAACAGGGCCTTGGGGTTTGCTAATAATTTATCTCATGGAAACTTGGTATTTTTGCCTTAAATGAGATGCTTGAGTCCTTCTAACTTTAAGTTAATTTATTTAATACAATTTTGTGCACAAAAGAATGAGTTCTATAAATTATGTATGAAAATATTAATGTCTTTACAAAGTACTGAAAAACCCAGAAGATCGTATCTTTTCGAATTAAGGTTTAAAATTCTAATTTTTTTTCTTTTATGCTCACCATTATTATTATTTTTGTAGCTGCAAGTTTTATCATATAGGATTTTTTAACATAATATTGATAGAAAATAGAAAGAGTAGTGAATATATGAAATTTTAAAGAGGAAGAATTGTTTGTTTGGACTTTTATAAGCTTTACTCGTATTTCCTCATGAGGAGTTTCTATGCTCTCTCTTTCAAAGACAGTGTCATGACTGACAGTCATTCATTGGTTTCACAAAAGAAGGGACTGTCTGGCTTTTCAAATCTTGTCCTGAACTCCTTATTAAAGTCCAGCTCATGACAACTAATAAGATTTGTCCATGAGTCAGGACGAAAAATATTTTTTTTTCTGATTTACAATCCACTTGAGAATTGTTTGAAGAGAGAAGTTGAAATTAACTAAGAGCTCCAGGACCTAAGCCTTATCTAAATAAGTGTTTTCTGGTCAGCATGTTCTTCTACCTGAATGAAGAGAGAGCTGAAAAGAATAGTTTCAATGACTATTATTTGTTCAAAAATTTGTATTTGCTCCTGGCTTATATGATCTATACTTTTTATTTAAATATTAATATGATGTTTTAGCCTAGGGTTCAAGATTGCAAAGATCATACACTTTTATTTACAGTGCCCACAGTTGTTCCATATGTTTTTGAGATACTCCTATTCAGAGTGACTGCTCTCATTATAGTATGGTGATGAGTAATTCACCTGCTTATCTGTGATAAGTCAAATCATGCTGAATTGCTTATGTATAGTAGAACATCTGATGTACAGTAGTATTTCTGGATTGGGACCTGCAATCCTTACTCAAGCAAAAATTCTATGGAATTCATTCATTCTATGAAATTCAAGAATTTTTCTTGAATTGGGAACTCAGATTCAAATCCTGATTTTGGTGGGCATCTGTTTGAAGTGAAAATGGTAATATTCCAGTTATTTCCTGAGGAAACTAATACTTAGCTGACTTTACCCTTGTCACATTGACTATATAAAAAATAACGCACAAAGTATTGATATAAAAAGGGAAGGAGAGAAGGGATATTTTTTAAAAGCACAGAGAAAATCAGAATATTCAGAAAGTAGGAATAAGCAGGAAAATAAAATATAACAGCAAAGGAATGGAGGAAAAAAGGGTTTAAACACCCGAGGCTAAATTCATCCATGGATGGTTTCACTGTCTTCAATGAATTCACTGCCCAACTGGGTGAAGCTCAGCCTCCATTGGGATAATCACTCAGTTCCATTGACCTTGCAGGAACTGAACCACCTATACCAGAAATGAACTTGCCTCTCTGGGCCAACTTTTATCCTGACATATATGTCATGCAATCCTTTTGGATTCACTGGGTTTGAACGAAATACGGAAAAGAATTGGTCCCAGGTATTTCTGCTTCACATTTTTTTTCCAAGTGTGTTAACTGACTTTATTCAAATGGATTACAACATCACACAATGTGCTGTCACTGTCTAAAAATCTTAATTTGTTTTTGAAATAAGATTTGTCCCCTGCAACGTCAGTGGAAGCATGTAATATGTAATATTTTCCTATCCATCCATCTGGATGCAAATGTGGCCATTCATTCAGCTGTGGCCACACACAGGGCAATTCGACATATCCAATGTCATCTACTATTGGAAGCATTTTTGACTTCTTTGAAAGACAAAAAGAAAGTTTCGTAGCAGGCTTTGAAAGCACGATGGCTGCTTCCACTGACACTGCAATATTAGCCAGTACATTACAATGTTAATTGTAAATTCTTGACAAAGTTGAATCCATATCGTTGTTAATAAAAATGACTTGAAAAGTGCTGTGACTACTGAGTTTTTTTCCTTATATAAAAGATTGTATGGTGTGACCATATATAAGGCAAAAAAAACCAAGCTTGCTCATTGTTTTCCCTTTAAAGTTTTGTAATTACTTAATAAATGGACCAAAACACCACAAAGGAAGTTTATTAGAATAAAATGTGCAGAAACCAGTCTGACGTTCAGTTTCTGGTAACTGTTTACAGCAGTTTAGTTTCACTTAATGTTGCAGCTCCTCCAGGAAAATGAGCTCTGAAGTTATTGCTGCCTTCCCTGTTTGATAAAGGGCAATGGATTCAGTGTTGGCAATGGGGGGCCTGTGTGGGGAACAGGATTTCTCATGGAAGGCACATCTGTCATCTCAGTTTAACTTGAGGCCTAGGTGAAGCTGTATATTCTGCATTTGACCATGAAAGTTGCTGTGGAATATTGCACCAAACCTGAACCACTAATTTGCAACATGCCTATTTTTTGCCACAGTGCTCTTCCTACAGCCTGGCTGAAGACAAGCTTCACTATTTGAGTGTAAAATACTAGAGAGCCTGTTCTTGTGGTGAAGTCACTGATTCTGTGGAGGCTTCAAGATTGGACCCAGATATCTCAATGTGCAGGTGATCCCCAGCCTCTCTGATGAACATCATCTTAAGATACCGAAATTTAAAGCCACAGTAGGCGGAAAGGTTTCCATGTTAGCCAATGTGAACACTACCAAGCTCTGCCTAGGAATAAGCAGAGGACAGGGAAAGAATCAAATGTACACATTCTGTTCTTGTGTTAAACCAGGCAGCCTTGCTTCCTGTTTGTGCAGAGCTGTTAGAGAAGGGTCAGAAGACATCACAGAGTAGTTTTTCCTGATGGGTTACCTGGCAGATTGCCATAACTAGGCACAGATGGTGATATGTATCCATAAAGACACATGCATAAATGTTTACTGTCAAGCTCTGTAGAATAAGAATCCAGGACCCTACCTAACAAGGAAATTTAAACAACGATTTAGCATTTTTTAGTGTAATTGAAGGGGCAGGGGGTACGTTAGCTCTTTTTTGTTCTCATTTGATTTTCTCTATTTTTTTCACAGTGATGGTAATCAAGCTCTGACACGGTTTATCAAGGGAGGTTTTGGAATCTCTGTCCTTGGAGAAAGTCACAAGCCACCTTGGCAACTGGCTCTTGGTATCCTTGCTTGAGTGGAGGGTTTGAACCAGAGGCTTTCAAGCTCAGCCATCCTGTGATTCTGTTTCCAGTATTGTATCAGCTTTAGTACATTGAGTCATACTGAACATAAAAGCTTCATCAAAGCATCATTAAGGTGTCATTTGAGATTACGTATTATGACTTCACTTAAAAAATCAGACTGCAGTGTATCAGCATGACACCAGCCTGGGCACCTGGCAAAATTACACACAGCCACCCTCACTCTGTGGCATCCCCTGAGGCTGCCTGCCTTCTCCCCCCACCCTACAGACTTTCCACATGTATTCAACTATGTTCTTGCCTCTGCTGCCTCCTTCTCCTTCCTCCTCAGCTAAGCCCAACCCAGGGTCACCCTGTGCT